CTGCCTTTTGGCTTGGAAGAAAAGCAGAAATCCCAGACTGAGAAAATGAGGCATGATTAAACTGCGCACATGAAATTTAGCTAGCGGCTAGAAAGAAATTTTTTGTCTGTTAGCTGTCATGAAGTAGAGGAGGCTAATTTCTCTAAGTCTTGTATTTCAAAAGACTTCTACAGATTTCTTTTAAATAACGCTCACAGACACTTAGCTCCACACATCTCATTCACTTAATTTATGTGTATAATAAAAAATTAAAAACCTTAAAGCATACAAGAGTGTCTAATGTGCTATCACTTGTGGGAAAAAAAAGGTTATACACACACAAACATGAATGTTTATGTGTAACCATCTCCTTAAAAATAGCCTAGTAACAGTGGCTGTGGCTGCCTCTGGGGAGCATTGTGGAGCTAAGAGATGACGTGGGAGACAGTCTTTGCTGTACTGTTTTGATTTACCATATGCCTGTAGTAAATATTGAAAATAAAACATGCTCTTAAAAAAGTTCAAAGGGAAAACATCCCTTTATAATGGAGAGATTTGGTGGCCAGTCTGTTAACCAGCTAAGGAAATTTAGCATTACCAAGTGTATAACAACCTGATGCACTTGAGGATTTTAACTTGAATATAATCTAGCCTTCAGATCTAACCTCTGAATCGTAGAAAACACATAGAATAGAGGAACGAGTTAAATGATATTGGAGAAAACAATTCAGACAGAGGGACACTCTTCAGAATGTTAATGTCATAAGAAATTAACAAGGTGGCTCAAATAATTAGTAATAAAAGATATTGGGGCAACTGGAGGAACTTTGAATATGGCCTGAGTATTAGACAATATTAGGGAATTACTGTTAATTTTCTGGGGTAAAAATGGTTTTGCATGCATAGGAGAATGTCCTTATTTTTCGGAAATTCGTGCTGAAGTATGGAGGGCAGAAGAGATGTGATGCTGGGAACTCACGTTAAAATGGCTCAGCGTGTGCACACACACACACAGAAACAGAGAGAAAGAGAGTTATTAAGTTAGTCTCTTAGCTTTAAACTTGGCTCTGTGATGCCAGGGCTGAGACTGCAAATCACATTTCTCCTTTGCCAGGTGCCCTTCTGTTATTCTGCCAATAGGGGGCACTAGAAGGAGAACGGAAGTCTAGAGGAGTGGCAAGGAATTTGTTCCTTTCTGTTTTGCTTCCTGTTACTGTCACTGTCACCCAAGCAATAGTTCCTCACCCTGGCAATGACAGAGCTATTTCCCGTAGGAGCAGATGGTTCAAGTTCACATTTTTTCCACAATCTCAGAAACAGCCTTATTATGCTTCTTCAGACATAATGGTATCAGCAGGCAGATGACTTCTCTGTCCCAGTCCATGGGACCCTGCATCCAAGCTTCTAAATTTTATTTTTTTAATCTTTATTGTTGAAAGTATTACAGATGTCCCTCTTTTCCTCCCCATTGGTCCCCTCCACCCCACATCTGCCTCACCCCCAGGCCTTCCCCACACTATCGTCTCTGTCCCTGGGTTATGCATTTATGCACATAGGTTCTTAGATTAATCTCTCCCACCCACTCCCCAGCCCCGCCTTCCCTCTGAGGTTCCTCAGTCGGTTTCATGAAGCTTCTAAGTTTTATGAATCCCAAGCTCTTCTTGTTTCCCTTCCTAGGGATGGTAACTCTTTCTGCATTTGGCACAGTATACCTTTTGCCTTTCCAGTTCTCCAATACCTGGCTGACAGTTCTTTATATTAAATTCTCTCTGCAAAAGTAACTGGAGGAGTTTGTGTCTCCTGACTGAACCTTGACTCATTAGATATTTGCACCAGGAGTCTCAGGAAACACCCTCAAAGATGAAATTTTCTCAGGTGCCAGGGTTTGTCTTTAGACTTGAATGCAATGTTGAGCTCCTTGCCATGGAAATGGGATGTCGGTATTGCATGGCATGGAGTGGCACTGATTATTGTGTTGAAGAGCCTCCTGTAGCATGCCCTGGGGGACCAAGTGGCTGCTGGGAATGATAACTACACAGACTGTGGGGTGGGTGCCTCCTAGTGCCCCGCTGAGCCTACAGAAAGGACACACTCAGCTCTAACACCTCAAGTCCCAGTCAGAAAACTAGAGAGGTTCTACGGCTGCCCTAAAATACCTCAAATCTCTTACAGCTGCAATACGTGCTCCGAGTTGTGACCAATGAATATGGTTTGGTTTGGTTTCCAAGGCAGAATGCATTGGTCCAGCAATTAAGGGTTGGATGTGGGAGTGGCTCAGGCTGTTGCATCTAATAACTCACAGAATTTTTGCTTTCCATTGGTACAACTGTGAACTCAGTTTGGAAATCTTGGTTCCCAAGGGAGAAATGCTTTCACCAGGGGATGTAATAGTGGTTCTACTCAACTGGAAGCTGAGACAGTCACTGACCATTTTGGGCGTGTGCCATGAGGGTTAATGCCAGAGGGCCTGAAATTGTCCTGATGAGTAGTGTTTTGTAACCATGTGTCTGAGGAATTTCTGGGTGGTTTGTACCAGTTTGTCATCATTGCTTATGGTAATACTGAGGTGATATATACCTACAGACCTCTACTACACCCGTCCCCAAGCCCCCAAAGAAAACCCAACTTGGTTGTTGGGCTTGTTTTTTTTTAAAATATATTTTTATTCATTTCAGAGAGAGGAAGGGAGAGGGAGAGAGAAACATCAATGATGAGAGAGTCATTGATCTGCTGCCTCCTGCACACCCCCACTGGGGATCGAGCCCACAGCACAGGCATGTGCCCTGACTGGGAATCAAACCTCGATCTCCTGGATCCTTGGTCGATGCTCAACTGCTGAGCCACGCCGGCCAGGCTGGACTTGGTTTTTAGGCAACAGATTAATGAGACTGCTACCAAATTTGAGTTGACTATGTGACTCCTCATTCTGGAGAGAAGGTGAGAACATCTTCATTTGTACAAAGGATAGTTATACCTTAAAAAACTCACAAAGTTATGCTTATTGTATACAAATTCAAATATGGATAGAAAGGTATGAATGGATGCTAAATAGCCAAAGGGGTGGAATGTGCTGCTTATTGTTTTTCAGCTTCAAACCCACCCTTCTATACTTTCTATAATTGCTTTGAGATGCTGTGGCTGGAACTCCACAAAGTACATTTCTTTATCACCTATATTTCTGTTAGGTTGTGCAAGTAAAACATACAAGAGAAATAGTGTAAATCTAGAGGGAGGGCCAGGGACTTGCTTCTCCCTTTTTTGCTTCCTAATGCTGTATTATCTCTGCAGTGGTTGTTCGCCCCAGTGACAATTAGCTCCAGTAGCAGTAGAAACTAATTGGGTTAAGTGTTCCATTTTTTTCACACTTCCAGAACCAGTCTCATCAAACAAACATATCAAGCATTATACATACTCATCCAGGTTTATTCCTTTACGAGCTTGGAAATTTTTCCAACTGTTCTTGACATTAGATTATACTAGAAAAAATAAAGACATATTTTGTAACTACATTTTTAAATGAAAGAAGGCATATATTTATTGACAAAAGTATTCTGATGGGTGGTCATAATGTTCAGTTTTGAGTAGACAATATAAACTTCAATTTGCAGTTTTCAAGTGGCATCTTAATTAGGTAGTCACATTCCATTCCCCTCCAGTCTTTTTTTGTTTTTCCCCCCAATTTTTCACTATTATAAAATGCTGTGATCACCACCTTATAAATAAAACTTTGTGGAAAGCCCCGATTTTTTCCATGCAGTAAATCCCTAGAGGGGAAAATCCTCAACCAAAGGACTATGAATAATCAATAGAGCAACTAAAATTAGTACCATAATAAAAAAATTAAGAGTAGCAGGAAAGGAGATGGATGCTTCATAAATTCAATCCTTACCTATTATCTATAGGAGTCAATATGTAACTTCTAAAGCTAATAAATCAAAACTTGCATATGTATTTGGTATAAACACATTTCTTAGCCACATGTGTGGAACCACAGAAAGTTAAAGCAGAAATGGTTAAGGTAATTGGGCAGGAAGGAGACTGCAGCTTTTCATTATAGGGCTAATTTTTTTCCAGCCTTGAGCATCCACTACTTTGATAAAACATTAAAGTTTTGAAATAAAAATGTAAATTTATTTAAATTAAAAATATATTTTGTCAAATTATCATTCAGAAAGAGTACACATGGCAAACTTCTGGATGGCCCTTAATTACTAGTGACTTCATGTCAATTTATTACTTATATTCTGGTCCATTTAAAAGTTTTCAACTATGTTAGAAAAATACATATAAGATATAAAATAAGAGAGAAAACTGGGGTAAAGGAAAAGTAAGTGTAAAAGAAATAAGATGAGGCCAGATGACCAACAACTCCATCAGAACCACTTTGGAAAGCTGGTTATTAAGAATGAGGATCTTGCCCAGCTGGGCGTGGCTCAGCGGTTGAGCGTCGACCTAGGATCCAGGCGACCGGGATTCGATTCCCGGTCAGGGCACATGCCCGGGTTGCGGGCTCGATCAATGACTCTCTCATCATTGATGTTTCTGTCTCTCTCTCTCCCTTTCCTTTCCTCTCTCTGAAATCAATAGATATATTTAAAAAACAAAACAAAAACAAAACAAAACAAGAATGAGGATCTTTGCCCTAGCTGGTTTGGCTCAGTGGTGAGAGCGTTGGCCCAAGGACTGAAGGGTCTTGGGTTGGATTGCAGTCAAGGGCATGTACCTTGGTTGCAGGCTTCATTCCCTGCCCCCGTCCGGGTGTGTGCTGGAGGCAGCCAATTGATGTCTCTCTCTCACATCGATGTCTTTTTCTCTCTCCCTCCTTTCCACTCTCCCTGAAAAGCAATGGAAAAAAATATCCTCAGGTGAAGAGCAAAAAAAAAGAATGAGGATCCTTGATCATATCCCAGACCTGCTAAATCAGGATCTCTAGGGTAAAGCTCTGGGATCTCCCTTTTAGCAGCCTCCATGACTAGGGAGTCCTGATGTAATTTAAAAGAAGACAAAGAGTGGCTAATAGGATATTAGGATATTTATTAATGTCATATTCAGAGCATGGTAGCTAGAGGAATGGACACTGTGAGACTAACTCCAAAGAATACATTTAAAAATAAATCCTATATAAACTAGAATCATCCCTTCCCCCACGAGAACATTTCATAACTCTCTTCTGATTTCATTATCCTCCCCATAATAATCCTCAAAAACATGGGAAGACTCAGCCTGTCATTTTGTCCTTTGACTTTTACTCTTAACATGGAGATGCATGTTCTGGGAAGTCTTCTCTTTTTCTCTTGGCTTTATTACTTAGAATACTGCCCTATTTGGCTGGATATTCTAGTGCTTGGGTGTCTTTTTAATGTATCACCTTAAAAGGTTACATATACTTAGAATCCTATGCATCAACTGGGCAGTGGTACGAAATCTTTGCTCCTGCTTTCATTGTTATTCTTAAAACATTTTCATATGACACGTGAAAATTAAAAGTTAGCGATGCTAAATTTTTTAAACACAGGATTCGCTATACCATAAATATAAAAGGAAAGAGACAGAATTATAGCTTAATTTTACAATGGAATTAAGAATATATTAAAAATTATACATTAAAAAAGTGTATCAGCTTACAGTGACTTCCGCTGTAGCTTTTGTTCAATGATGTCTGAGAAACGAGGAACCTTTTTGGAAATAGCCACACGGATGTCATCACTCATATTAAAGCAGCTTCTGGACTTTGTTTTAAAATGTAAAAGTGATGAAAATCCCAGTTCACAAAGGTACGTTGAGGCAAATGGTATAAGGATTTCTAGAGCTGTCTTTGCAAGGTTTGGAAACACTGTGAACTGAACACACCAGAAATCCTCAAGCTTCATTGTCTCAAATTCCATTAAAATCTGGCCACTGGCTCGTAATTCAGCAAGATCATTTTTCATTAAATAACCATCATCAACAAAATCCAGGTTAAAAAGAAATGGGTCCAGGATCCATTTACTCGCCTCGTCAAGATCTCCGACAGAAAAATAGCTGTGGAAGGAGCTGTTCAATAGTTGCAGGTGCAGTGTTATTTCAGCTGCAATGCTTCCTGCTTCATCGTCTGAAACAATTACTTCTTCAAGAAAAGGAAAGTTGGTAAAATTTCTTTTCTCAATTCTTTTTAGCCAAAATGGAAACTTCCTAACAAAAGCAGATAACTTTTCCCTGGCCGATACCGTGTTCATCCCAGTCCTTTGCATAGACGCGCTAAGTTCATTCAGGTGTTTGAATAAATCTGCAAGGTATGCTAGGTGAATTTTAAACTCTTTATTTTCAAAGCCATTAACTAAATTGCTGCTTTGGTGGTGAAGAAACTGATTTATTTCTTCATACATTTCAAAAATATGAGTAAGTATCTGGCCTCGGGAAAGCCACCTCATTTCCGTATGGAAAAGGAGGACGCTATACTCTACTCCGATCTCTTCAAAAAAAGCCTGAAACAGGCGATGATTCGGAGCTCGCCCTTTGATGAAATTTACTACCCTCACAACAGTAAACAGAGCATCCCTCAGCTTTGTAGGTAATGTCTTTGTGACAAGTTCGTGAGGGTTCAACAGACAATGGGTGATCACAATGTGAGGTACCTCTTTTTTCACACAAGCAACAAATTCTGAATTTTCTCCTAGCATAGACGAAGCTCCATCAGTGCAAACAGAGCCACACACTTCAAGTGCTATCTTATGCTTCAGAAAGAAGTCTCTGAAGAGAGTGAACACATCTTTTCCCTTCATTGTTAATTGCAATGGTTCACAGAACAGGAACTCTTCTATGATCTCTCTTTCTTTTATGTATCGCACAAATGCCATTAGCTGGCTGCAGTCGTCCATGTCCGTGGTCTCAGCAAGCTGAATACCCACTTGAAGAGGACTGGCTTGGATGTCTTCTAGAACTTGCTGTAAGATGTCGTTGCTCATTTCATCAATTCTAGAATGGATCACATCATCTGATAACGGGACTTGCTGAAGCTTCTTTTGTGCATCTGGACCCAAAACTATATGTGCTATTTCCAATGCACAAGGTTTCACTAATTTTTCGGCTATCGTATGAGGATTCTTCTCCTTGGCACATAAATACGCAAACTGATATGATGCTTGTAATAAGGCATCCTCTTGAGATGCAACTCCAAATGCTTTCAAGGTTTTGCTCTGATCAGATGGTGTGGGCATATGCTTCAGGCTATTGAGGTCATGCCCACCGACACCACCATGCTGTCTGTTAAAATGGTCAGACAGTTTTGATGGTCTGAGGTCAGCATTTGAAAATACCGAGTTACACAATACACACTGTGGGCGTTGAGTTCCATCCACCTCTGTTGTACAGGTGAACCAGTAACGAACATAGTCATCATCCCATTTGCGTTTCTTCGACATGGCACCCCAAAATTTTCAGGTAGTATTCCAGAGATGCTGCAGAATTTTGCTTTGGGAGTAAAATATAACCCACACATTAAAAATCAGTGGCTAACCAAATTAAAACAAAGCCACATCACATGCCATCCTGCCATCTGTGTTCATGTCAAGAAATATCCTGTAAGATGTCAAAGTAAGCCATGACGACATGACAGCCCAACTTAAAGCTAGAAACTCACAGCTAAAGTCTTGCAATACGTGACTTGTGAGCAAGTTATATATGGGATATGTGGGTCTATGCAAGGTGTGAATACTCCGAAGTTCTCTACTGGTGAGCTGTAGTTATGGTTTGTTTTCAAATATGTATGTTCCAAACAAATCTAGTACATTTTGTGTCCCCAGAAAGGGGATCTCACTACCACCCCCTCCTTCCATCCTAGGTGAATAATGCATGCACACCCTATTATGAAGCACTGAATAGAGAAGGAAATAATTCACTAAATACTCTAAGGAAGGGCAGATATTTTGACAGGGTAGCTAGTTCTTTTTAATAGTTAAGGATTAAATAGGTCTGTAAAACTATTTTGATCCTTGAGTGTCTCTGACTCCAACATAAGCAGAAAATTTCAAACAGGTCTGATTAAGCCACCCTTGACATAGCAGGACACAAATTTGGCGCAGAGCTTCCCTCTGCTAAAGTGTAACATACTATTTATATAGAAAAGCAAAACAAGTTGCTTAGGAGAAACACAGCTATACTTGTTACCAAGACTTCAGAAAAAACTCTCATTGTCTTAATTACAAGAAATTTCACGATGCTTTTTCATATAACTATCCCTTAGTAAAAGGAGTCAAGAAAAGCCAAAACAACAAAAGGAAAATAGGCAGTAGTCCTAAGATCTGGCTTAACCCAAGGCAGTGGTTTTCCAGTTTAGTAAAAGGAAGAATCATCTAAGCCTCTTGCTAAAATGCAGGTTCCTGGGCCCCACCTCCAGAGATTCCGATTCCCTAGCTCTGGAAAAGGGGCCCATAATCTGTGTTCTAAATAAGCATTTTAGATAATTCTTGTGAATAGTAACTAAAAAGAAATTTTTAACAAAAGATGCCTATCGCAATCACTGGGACTCCCTTGGAAAGTATACATGCCCCTGTCCTACCTTAGAACTAATAAATCATCTCCAAAAGCAGGACAAAAGAATAAAAAATACAGCTGTCTAGGTGATTCTGATCCATGTCCTAGTTTAGTCGGACTGAGAGGAATGAAAACGTATTGTTCAGGACATTCCCTAGCTGGCAGGTATTCTAGGGTGCTAAGTAAACAGTCTAACTGCTTTAATAGGCATTTACGTTTTCTGAGTTGGTGATAACCTTTTTATTTTTCTTCTGCCTGAACCATGAGCAAAGGTATAATATACAAAGGTAGGCTCAAATATACCATAGAAAACAATTCTGTTTCCCAGATAAATAAGTGATCACCAAAGTTTCCAAAATTCTGACACAGAATGTGGCTGAAAACTTAACAGGGACACATTTAAATCCAAATGTCCACTTTGGCCATGAAAAACCAACCTCACAATAAGTGAGCCAAAAGTATTTACTTAAAGTACTAGCTTTCTAGTGGCTCTGCCAAGTTTAACTAGTTGTAAAATGTACTTCAATGCAACCAAAAAGTTGACTTGCCAAATGGTCGTCTGTTAAAAGCCAGTTAAAAATTGGAACACGTCTGCTAATCAATAAAGAATTTAAAAAGCTGATCTTAAGCCACCTTTTGTCAAGTGATGAGACTAGAGGGCCAACTGTGTTTAGAAACTCTCTGAATTGATAAGAATAAAATTATGACATCAACATAAAAAAATGCTTCTTTCTGTATTACTATGTACAGGGGTGAGCAAAAGTAGGTTTACAGTTGTAATACAAATAAATTATACAAGAATAAATTGTTCCAAGTGCTCACAACTGTAAACCTACTTTTGCCCACCCCTGTATTTACTGTGTACATATTTGGGGCAGAGCTTTTTCCTTCAGACTCATTAGAAATTACAAGCTCGCCTGGCCGATGTGATTCTGCACCTGAGCATCGCCTAGGTTCCAGGAGATCGTGGTTTGATTCCTGGTCAGGGCACACGCCGGGGTTTCAGGCTCAATCCCCAGCAGGTGGCAGCTGATCAATGACTTTCTTATCATTGATGTTTCTATCTCTCTCTCCCTCTCTCTGAAATCAATAAAGATATATTAAAAAAAAGAAAAAAAAGAAATTACAGGCTCAGTTAAGCATCCATTCCTATCCACCCTCACTATGCTACTCAAGTGTATTTTGATTGTAAGATTTACCTGTTTTTAAGCAAAGAATTTTTAGAAAAATTCATTTATAGTTTCCTCCGAAGAGGTAGCAAAAATTTTCAAGAGCCTCAAAGATGAACTTACCACCCAAAAGGCTTTCTTGTGTTTCAGTGCCTCACACTTTTCACTCTCTCCTTTGTGGTACTTAGTAATCACAATATTCTAAGATACGTAAACGTTAAAAAATCATCACCATAGAAAGGAATCATTGTTAATTTCAACAGGTGTGATAACGGTATGGTTGTGTTTTTTAAAAAGCCCTCATTTATTAGGAATACAGACTCAGCTATTTACAAGTGAAATGATAAGGTGTCGTGATGGCCTCTGAAATAGTGTACTTCAGCACACCCGCAAACACACACACAGAGTGGGGCGGAGAAGGAAGAACTAAGCTTGGCCTTGAGGTGCTAGCTGCTGGAGCTGGAGGAAGGGCACACATCGCTGCACCCTTCTCACTGTTCTTATGCATGCTGGAAGTTTTCCACAATAAGCAGTAAAACAAATAAGCAGACAAAAAACCAATATCCTATTGAGATAGATGTGATTCTTTTTTAGAATGATTCCTTTGAGAGTATCTGAAGGTGCAAAAGGAACTATCTGGTACAACAAAGTAGAATGTTTCTGCAAGTTTCTGAGGTGTAAGGGTAGATATGAAAATGTATCACGATTGAGGGAGGGGGGGGGAAACCAGTTAAAGGTGAACATTCACATAACAGAAATATTTGGGGAATGCTGACGCGTATATTCCCGCAATCGCAACACCCAAGTGCAGTTGTGAACCTAAAACTCCAAACCGAATTCGATTCCACTTCTATCTAGTCTAGGCCAGTGGGCGGCAGGTGCGGGTGTCTGGGGTTGAATCGCTACATTTTACAGCTAAAAGCAAACAGCCAGGAGGAAAGGGAGGAGCAAACGCCCCGGAGGCAAAAGCCTGTGACCCTGGCTTTGTCATTGACAGGCTGGGACTGGGGGTGACAACAGTACCTACCTGATAGGGTCGCTGGGATGTTTAATTATGAGCATGCGTGCAGAGCACACGCAGCTCGTAACTGGAAGGAAGGACCTGTTGGTGTTATTGTTATGGACGCTTAGGAGGCTGCCCGGGCGAGCCGAGGGCGCCGGCGGCGAGGAAGGAAGACCCGCTGGGTCTCCGCCCGCGCGTCTCCCAGCCGGAGGCGCAGGCCCCGAGGGTGCTCGCTCGGGCTTCCTCGAGGCGCCCGTTTCAGGCCCCGGGTCACTTTCTGCTCCGGCTGAGGCCCAGCCTCCCGGCGCCGGGACCAGTGTGGGCGGCGGTTCCTCAGGTGCGACCCAGGAGCAGGAACCTGCGGAGACGGGGTGACACCGAAGCGCGCGCCGCCACCTCCGCCCCGGCCGCGCCGGGCTCCCATCCGGGTTCTGCGGCAGCTTCCCGCCCGCAGACTGGGCGGGGCGTCTCCCCGCACGCAGGCGCACTAGCCACGGGCTGAGGGCACGGCCGGCTTTGGGAGGGGAGCATGCGCGCTGGCCGACCTCCCCGCACCGCATCTTTAGGTTGTGTTTGTGGAGCTGGCCTTTTGTTTACTGTGTCTGCCAGAAAAATAGAATCTAAAGGATGGAAAGCGCTGTAAAGTCTACACAGTTCTTCAGAGCCCTGGAAATAAAATGTTGCAGCGTGTCAGGCTTTGAACTTGTAAAGCTGCAGTAACTTACCATTTTCTATGTGGAATCAATGACGAAAAAGAAGAGGGTCACTGTACTCCCAAATTAAACATTCAGGCAAATAGGACAGGCTGTAAGTTCCATTAAGATACACACAGTGGAGGATGTGCTTCCAGAGCTTGGGACCTCTTGCCTAAGCTGGTCGCCCCGGACCCCTTCCATAAGTTAGCACGAGGATGAATTTCCTGAGGACCATCATCCATCTTAGAGAAAATGTTTTTATTTATCATTCTTTTTAACAGGATGTAAAAGTAATAAACCTAGCTTAGAGATATTTTAGAGGTAAACCCCAAAGGAGAAACTAGGAAACATTGTTTAAAGAAACAAACCCTATTATAGTCCTATCTCCTATTTGGGGAGGAGGGTATTTTCATTCAGAATTCTTTAGGAAATGATATTTTATTCACTTTTTTGTATAGTCTATCTTCTTAGAAGCATCCCACAAAGTTGGGGGACCAGAGAGTGTTTAAGAATGTAGGACAGATGCATCATTTTCAGGTGTTGCGAGTGAACTTGGTCAAGGCTGAGGGCCTGCTCAAGGTTTCTGTTAAGGGAAGAAATTTAAAAAGACCAGCATTCCTGGCCCCAGGAACCAGGGCCTTAAATACTAGAGAAAGGAGTAGGCTTTACAGTCAGAGAGACCTGGCTTCATGTCGTGGCCTCAACACTTTTAACTGTTAGGCCTTGAGCAAACTGCTTGGACTTAGTAAATTAAGCCCATGTGCTTATTGTAAAGCAGGGATACCACCCACTACTCCATGCAGTTCTTTTGAGGGGATAAGTTATAAGTGAAAATTACAGCACATAGTTCTAGCACTCAAAAGGCAGCTATTATTGAGAGAAAATGAAAGCACATTATTTTGAGTAATGTTCTGGGTATTACCTTTCTTCAAAATTGAAACAGAAATAAGACATGATTTCAGATATTACAGAATTCTTCCTAAAATCACAGTAAATTAGGTTTCACAGAAGAGGGAACAGAGGCCCAGAAAGGATAGGTGACACATTTTTTGAGTTAAAGGACCATGAAATTTCTGATTCAAACTCACAGAAGTTAACCCAGGCTCCCTTGGAACCCTATCAACAACTACTTTTGTATTACCAAGTATTTGAAATAATGCTACAAACCATTCACAGTTAAGTATACTCAATTATATATCTTTATTAACAAAAGATAAATAAGATACAAAATAAATACTAACCTCAGATTTATGCTGAACTCATCATATGTTAAAGTAGGAATATGAAAACATAAACTCTTGACATTCTTGAAGTGGATAAGAATTACATCTATTTGCATTGCTGTTTAATTTCGTATCAGTCTGAACTTAGATACCATGTAGATATATATCTATAGTACTTGACAATTTGATTCAGTTACTCTCCCACTAGGGTTATTTCTAAGATGCTAACTTAATGCAGTATCCTAATGGATTTTGGTAGCTCAGAAAAATCCAAGCTGTTTAAAGTAAATGTACTCATGTCAGAAGTTTTTAACTAGTTTTTTTTCAGTACTCTCTCACTGTCAGCATTATTTTCACAATGTTCTTAGAAGAGGCTTGAGGACCATGGCAATCACAGTTACTAGTAGCCCTATGAGCTATCCTTATAATTCTTTGAAGAAACCGTCAACTTTAGGTTTTGCTTTTGCAAGTTTAACAAAGTGACACCTGCTGGCTACAGAGATTAGGTACAAGGGAATTCTATAAGCTTTTAAAATCAAATTTAATATTCATGATTGTTACATAAAGGCAATCACAATAAAAAAAATAGTATCACAAACAATATCCTCTACAATAAAGGATTTCTGTGTCTAAAGGCTCACGTTCAAAATGGTAAAAGGCCTAACACTGATTGGTCAACTCTGATTCAAGAATGACAAAACAGTTCTTTTTCCATTCAAAGGCTAACACATTTAGTTCTGGGTGTGAAAATCAAAAACTTTATAAACAAGTGAAAAACAGAATTATTACCACAGAGGATAAAGTTATTCACATGTTCTATAAATTTCCTATCAGATAAAATTTTTTTAGCTGCTGACCAGGAAAACCTTAGAAGGCAAAAACAAATGACTATAAAATAACTACAATTATAATTACTACTAATTAAAAAAAATAAAGCCCTAGTTTTGAGAAAGAGTAATTAACCTACCTTTAAAATGTGTCAAACATTAAAGGGCCATAATTATTGAAGAAATAAAGTTTAAGGCTTAACTGTTGAGTGGAAGATGAGAAAGGGAGCCTCTTTCCATATCACTAATGTAAAACTGGAAACAAAATCTTAATCTGCACTTAATGTGCCTTCTCTTTGTTTTTCTTCATTTCTTCAGCATAAGGAATGAATTTACTATTAGAATTCTGGAAGCTTTATTAAAATCAGGCAGCAAGATGAGCAGACACTGACTTTTCCATCTACAATCATCGGCAAAAAGCTGAAAAGAATATATCTATCATCAGCTGTGTTTATCATGGGTGACTGTCTGCATCTAGTTTCTACTGTCCAAGAAAAGAGGCCATGGGGTCATCCGGCCTCTGACGCTTCATTCTATAGGCCTCCATTTCCTCCTCGGTGGGTTCCCGAGTTTCATACAGGATATTGTAAGGCCGCTTCCTCTCATCAATCTGCATGAGATCCTTGACATGAAGAAGGCGGGCCTCCTCTGCATTCAGTGCCTGCAGTGAGACGAAAAACATGAGTGCCACAGCTCTACATCAGTTCTCCTTTTGTTCCAAAGTGGCAGAATACCAAGATTCCACTGAATATGAATTACTACATCAAAAACCTAGATTACTTGAAAGAGCTTTGGAGCCAGCCCTTCCGCTATCAAGCTGCAATTACTTACTATTTGGCCCATGAGATTATTTTCATAGAGCCCAAAACATTCTACAGTATTTTCAATGTTAAAGAATTTTTACTTAAGATAGTAAAGAGGGGAATTAAATGGTGATGGAAGGAGACTTGACTTGGGGTGGTGAACACACAATACAATATACAGCTGATGTAATATAGAATTGTACTCTTGAAACCTATGTAATTTTATTAACCAATGTAAGCCCAGCAAATTCAATAAAAATTAAAAAAAAAGAGAAAAAGAAGCGTGAACCCTAAGGTAAACTGGATAGATGTTAGGTGACTATGATGTGTCAATGCAGGTTCATCAATTTTAACAATCTACTACTTTTGTGGGGGATATTGATAATATGGGAGGCTATAAATGTGATATTATAGGAAATAACTGTACCTTTCTCTCAATTTTGCTTGGATGGACCTAAAACTGCTCTAGTAAAATAAAGTGTTTTTAATTAAAAAAAAAAAAAGAATTTTTACTTTAATAGCAAAAATTGAATGATGTTCATTTTACTGACAGAAGCCCACGAGTGATGCTTCTGGTGGAAATGGCAACTCTGACTTCTCCCAAGGACTTGATGAAACAGATCATAGAGCTAGAAGGCAATTCTTTCTGGGAAACATGTCAGTAAGTTTAAAATGACAGCTTTACAAACCACGCTTTTTCCTGTGAGCTAGTGATATTTGTCAAACATCCCCAGCAGCAGGCTACGCCCACACACGGGAATCTCCATTCGCACTCTCCACCTGATTGAGCTGACCGGGGCAAATGACCCAGAAGGGGAACTCGTTCCTTTGTCTTTAAAATGAGCTTGGACGAAGGACTAGATAATTACTTCCTAAGGTCCCTTGCCAATGCAGAATACTGCTGTCCCTTCTACTGCTTAGACGTCACGAGTACCTTTTTCAGCTTTTCCCGTTTCTTGTCTTCGTCGTCACTGTCTGAGCTGCTCTTCCGATGCTTCTTCTTCTTCTTTTTCTTCTTCTTTTCCTCTTTTAGTTTTTCCTGATGCATCTGACAGGGAGGATTGAAATGGTGTTTTTAACACAAAAACAAAGCTCCCATGCAAGTCTTAAAGTCCTCCCTCGGTGGTTTAAAAACTCAGTATGAATGATGATAGACTTACCTCCATGAGGGTTTGAGGTTTTTTCAAAGATTCTTCTCCAGCTATGTCACTTACAATACATTCTTCTGAGTTCTGTGGGAAAATATATGTAATTGGACTTGAGTAGAATAGTTATCGATCAAGTAAAAAAAAGGTTGAAATTTGAAGCACGAGGATATATATGTTTCATACAGATTTTAACTTAGGAGCTTTGGCTGATTCATAGCTAGCTGTAAGAACAAGAGGACAGTTACTTACAATAACCTCCTTCCCAGCTTCTCCAGTGCAATAGGAGAACTTGACAAAAGAGTGACAACATTTGTATCCCCATCGGCCTTCTTTCCAGTATGATCCCCAGATATGCTGCAGAGAGAAAGAGAAAGAGAGATGTTACTTAAAATGAAACCTCAACTGGGGACTCTCATGTACTGAAGTATGAAATACAGCCCTTTTAAAAGTAATTTGGAAGGAAAATTTTGGGGATTCCAGGGTTAGCTAA